TCAAGAGCTCTGAATCCCCTTGGCATCATTGCCACCATAATACATTTTCTCACTTTATTTTGGTGATTTCCCCCTGGCAGGGACAACATGCTCTGTGAACATGGGCAGAATCTCCTCCTACTCAGTGTATAGTGACTGTGAAAGTATGTGCTGATGTATCTCCATGTCTAGGGATGAAATCAGAGTATTATTACAGTCCATTTGTCTGTACTGAATCTTAAATTGTTTTTTAGCTCTATGAGAAGATGTTTTCCCAAGAACCTTGCCCAGCTAGGTTCTGCTGCCCTTCTCTGACCCAAAGAAACACACAAATCCTTCATTTGTTATTAAGTAGTTGGCCATTGTCTCAGGTTTCTTATTTGACTAGAAGTGACTAATTATTAACTCAATTCTATCAATCTAAGTATTCCCACATGGTTTTCTCCTACCAGAGAAAGGTCCAGGGACAAGTTACTACTCCTCTGGTGTCCTATATGTTGCTGATCAGTGTGTCCTTAGAGAAGAGAAGAGAGCTATTTCCTGCTTATCCCTGCTTACATACTTATTATGCCCTGCTGTGTTACTTCCTGCCTGGATCACATGACGACTTCTCTTTACTACATTTCCCAGAATCCTCCTCATCACTTAGTCTCACCTATCTTGCTTCACTCTTGGTCAACAGTGCTTTATTCATCGATCAATAAGATACATATATACACAGAAGACCAATCTCCATTTTCTCCTCTTTTCTGTCTAAATAAAACAAAGGGTTTTAACTTAACATAGTAAAATATATAACAAAACAGTTATCGAGTAAGAATGATAGTTACAATTTTTAGTTCATTAATATTTGAAAAAAAATTTAGAATATATTCTATCATATATCCTATTTTTGTGAATATAAATTCTTATATGTAACTTATCTTTAATCCTAACTAAGGAAATCTATAACCATAAGTATCTGTCTTCAACTCCATCAAAGACCATAGAAGGATACTAGATAGTATATAAATTCTAGAGCAGACAGAGACATCTCACTGCTTGGACGGTCACCCAAAGTTCCTCTGCAAAGTTGGCACATCCATCTTTAGACCATAGGCCATAATGTGTCTGGCAGACTTCTCAGCAAAGCAGGAAATTTTAAACTGTCCATCTGTTTTGCCAGTTTGTCAGTCATTTTTGTCTGTGTCCTGCAGAATGTCTGGTAGACTCATCCATGAAGCAGGAACCTTTTAGGACTGTACATCTTGTTTTGCAAGTTCAGCAGTCACTTTCCCGTGCATCCTGCATTTCCAGTTTATACAGCAATAGTCAGTCTAGGCAAGAGGAGTTTCTTGCCCAAATGGCTAGTCTCCCAATGTCAAAAGCAAACTCCATAACAAATTTCTTCCATGCCCATCTTCCTTTCTGATGTAATTGGTGTGCCAGGAGCAGTTATCTGTCATGAAAATTCCTAAACCATTTTAAATGCCATATTCTGTAGGTCTTGGGAAGGTTTGAAGAATATCTCAAATATATCTCTGTATATCTAGAAAACCTAACTAACCTAACTATAAGTTTTGACTATTATAGGTGACTGTATACAATCAGTATTTAATTATGCATTACATTTTAAAATATCTGTATAAACAAATACCTAAACAAGAGAAGAAATTTACATACAACAAAATTGACTTTAAGTTTGTATCAATAAATAAAAAATCCATTTCAATAAAGCATTCATTTCTATATCCTATTGCCCCCTTTTACTTTAAAAAGAGATTGTCTAAGATTATTACCATTTTTAACTAACCCAATTTAAATGAAAGCAAGCATTTATGAACAACTTTTGGGAATGTGGGCGTGTTTCTCTCCAAACTGCTTGCTGCTGTTTGGAGGCACTGTAAACCATGGGAATCCTAAGAAGACCCAGAGATTCTGGTTGTAGTGGTCTACAATGCTTCCTTATGCCAGATGTTTGGAATGTTGGATCACCTGGTACAGTCTTTCAAGGGGTCTTGCTTCATCAAACCATATTAGTCTGGAAGGAATCCACAGCTTTTCATTTTCTGTGGAAACAAAAGTAAAAGCTCTTTTTCAAAGTAACATATTCATATACTTAAATTGTGAAGTCAAGGCATTTTTAAAATATATAATTTGGATTAATCCAACAACATTTCTTTTAGCAGTTGTTGCTATTTCCTCAGCAGCCAAACAATTCATACACAACACAATAGCACACAGTATCCAGATTCTCTGTGTATTTTCTATTTTTACATGGCTCATTTATTTATTTATTTATTTATTTATTTATCTATTTATTGATTACACTATTTCTTTTACTTTTATTTTTACCTTTATTAAGGCAGGGTGTCTCTGTGTAACTTTGGCTGCCCTTGAACTCACTCTGTATACCAGACTGGCCTTGAAACCACAGAGATCTGCTTGCCTCTGCCTCCTGAGTGCTAGGATTAAAAGCATGTGCCACCACCCAGATACTCTATTTCTTTTTTATTTTTTTAAACGCTTTATCCTATTTCTTTTTCTCTACCAAGCCTACATATATTTTTAGACACACTGTAAACTGTTAGAGGTTTTTATTCATCTGAATCTGCCTTTACTGTAAATCCTTACCTTTTTCTGGCCATGCGGTCTTTTATCTGCTAGACAACATTGCTAAAAATTAAAGAAGTTACTCTTTTGGCCAATGTCTTTCCAAGATGGCAGGGAGGGGGGCACCTTTGCCACCAGCATGGAGAGCTGTGCTCTCCAACTTGAACTATGCAACCATCAAGCAGCATGCTGCCACTTGCAGATGTGGTCACTGCCAAAGCCAACTGCTCATAAACACCATTCAATTTTTTTTTCAGGTTTGGCCATTTATTTCATCTGTTCAGACCTAGATAACCACAAGGTGTTGAAAAAACACAGTATATGCCTTTTGGATTGGTGAAAATCCTTAGTCCATATGCTTATGTGTTTCTTTTTTATCATTTTTTATTTTAATTTTAAATAGCTTGTTTTACATGTCAATCCCAGTTCCCTCTCCCTCCCCTCCTCCCGCACTCCCCTTCCCCCCACCCTCCCACCCTATTGCCAAATCCTTCCACATAGGGGATATCTAGAGTCTGTCATTTTACTCTTGGTAGGGTCAAGGCACTCCCCTAAGAGTCCAGGCTGAGAGAGCATCTCTCTTTGTGCTATAGGCACATGAAGACAGTTTGTATACCAGGGATAGACACTGATCCACAGCTCAGGGTCCCATAGGTTGCCCAGGCCTTCTCACTGACACTCACATTTGGGGGGTCCAGATCAGTCCCATGCTGGCCTCCCCACTGTTGGTCTGGGGTCCAAGAGCACTCCCCTGTTCAGATCAGCTGTCTCTGCTGGTTTTGCCAGCCCATTCTTTGCCAATTTGCTCATCACTCCTCTCTCTCTGTCACTGGGTTTCTTGGGTTCAGTTCAGTGATTAATTGTGTGTTTGCCTCTGCTTACATCAGTCACAGGATGAAGGCTCCCGGATGGTTATAGACATCAAGTTCATTATCAGGAATGGGCATTCGAGGTGGTCCCTCCACTATTGCTTAGCTTGCCAATTGATGTTATACCTTTAGATCACTCGAGGTCACTCTGGTGCCTGACCTGTCTTCGATCCTATGATTCCCTCTTCCCCCTATTCTACCCCCACCCCCTCAACTTCCTGTTCCCCCATGACCAACTCCCTTCCTCTTTACCCCCTCTATTCTTCCCAGGTCCCACTCCCCCCCACCCCTCGCCGTGTTCCCCATCCATTCAGAGGATCTTGTTTCCATCCTCTTCTCTTGGGTACTATGCATATATGCATATCTTTTAGGTTCTTTCGGGTCCCATAAAAGAGTTTTACATTTTTTCTGCTTATGTCTAGTCAGGAAGATTCCCTTAAAGGAGGCATGCTAGGCTCTGCTTGTCTCTAGCAAAAGAGAACCCACCTGAGAAAATGCTGCCATGTTTTTCTCTGTTGTTTTGTTTCTAAAATCCCTTTTATCATTCCACGTGGAAATTCATGCCTCTTGTTGCCTGCACCATTTTGTAATGTGAATGTTTCTCTTGCCCTGCTAGATCCTGCTACCTTTCTCTGCCCCAAAGAAACACACAGATGCTATATTTGTTATTAAGTTATTGGCCATTGGATATAGATTCTTATTTGCTAGCTCAGTCTTAAATATTACCCCATTTCTAAAATTGTATGTATTTCTACATTACTGGAGATAAGTTCCAGGCCTCTACATCTTGTCTGCTCTGCATCTCTGCAGAGAAGAGGAGAGAAGCTATTTCCTGCTTGTACCTGCTTATATATCTTGCTTCACTATTGGACAACCAATAAGATAAACATATATACAGAAGAACATTCCCCATCAAACTGTTCAAGAGAAAACATCACCAACATTCCAACATTCATTCCTTCTTGGGAGTACTTTCCCTGGCATCCCGCGCATTCATCCAGACTTTCCTGGAATTAATTGCATCTGCAGGGAAGGTGAATTACTGATGACTGATTCTCTTCTCCTGTTTCTGGCAATCTTGTTGTTATTGTTGGTAAATATTTTTAGAATTATTTTAAGCATTTTGGTTCCCTGTTTTCCCCCTGGGTTTTAGCTCACTTTGATCAGTTTTCTCTGGGAGTTGCACTACTATTTTATATTGAAGCTGTCACATGTAAGGTAGATATGGAAATAGTCATGATAGCAGGCAATGAGAACATTGCAAGTCAAATAAGACATAATCACCTTGACTTATTAATCGTAAAATATGTTTCAGTTCTGATTTTCATTAACTGTGTAAGATTACAAGATGTTTAAACATGGATACTAAAGGAACGTGTCTTGATGATAAGTACAACTAATTTTGGCTAAGCAATTCTCTTTTGGGTAGAATTGATTCACCTTTAACTTACTGTTAAAGCTCTATGTCAATTTTGAGTCATAATCAGAAGAAGAGTGGCAAAATTCCATGTGTTCCATCATGTGACCATTTAACCCAAATTAGAACTTTGAGAGCTCTTCTGTACAGTGAGTGGTGTGACTGAAACAGTAAACTGACAGAACCCAATTTCACAGCCACAGGAGAAAAGAGAAATACTGTCCTGGATTGGAATGAATCTTTGAAACAAGCTAAGGGTGCAGGGATTCAGGTTAAGAAATTGCTGTCCACTTGTTTGCGGGCTTTAACTCTAAAACCAGGCATGGTGGAAATCCACAGGCAATGCATTTTCGAGGGAACAAATAATTATTCTGGCTATGTAGCAAGGAAAACAAACTTGAATTTGGTAAGTTTCATTGCATTGCTGTTGCTGTTGCTTGGTAGCTTTATGTGTTAAATTATATGTTTTATAGATTAAATTGCCACTGCCTGGAAAAGTCAGGATGAGCCATTTCTAAGTTGTATTGTTATGGAGTAGTTATTTTTCTTTTCACAAACAAACTTTTCACAATTTATAAAAGTTGTAAAGGTTCTCTTTGATTATGAAGTACTATTTGTCGTGTTCCATATGACATATATAAATAGAGGCTTTGGGGTTGAATAAACATCAGTCAAATTTAATTTTCAACATCAAATTATTAAATATTTTTGTTTCATTATCTTACTGAAAGGTGCAGAATTATTTCTTTATTTTTATGATAATATAAATTATCTCTTTTAAATTTATTTTCAAACCAGAAGACCATTGTATTCATAAAATTAAGTGTCACTACACCAAAAGGTTTTATCTTCCCTTTCTCAGTATCATATTCCAGAATAAATTTGGGTAAATAATTTTGTTTTAAAGCAGAAGAGAATTGTATTAAAGGGAAAAATTATCCCTTAGTTAAAATAAGAATTTTGTTTTATAAGCTCAAAATATCTCTGTAAATTGAAACATAACACCCCTAAAACACAAATAACCCAACTCCTGCAGATGTCTCAAACCTTGTAGCAAGAAGTTCCTTTGCTCAGTCTTAGAAATTACAGCACCCAAGCTCCTATTTTCTCAACTACATCTTATATAATTAATTTTGATACTAAATTAAGCACTTACAAAATAAAACTCAGAAGTCTACCTTGGCTTTTCATCATTAAATAACTGACATTTATGTCAGTGAATGAAAGAGATAAAATGCTTTTACTATGATGAAAGATGATACAATGAAACTCCAAACAAAACAAACAGCATTGGAAAAATAAAAAAGTTGACTAGCTATATTTATCTTTGAGAGAAAACACAAGTTTTCCAAAATGCTAAAAGCCTTCCTACCTGTTCTCAACTAGCAAGGAATAAGGCATTATAAAAATTTGCACACACACTGCTTGTCTCTTAAAATAGCAGTAGATGTATGTGGAGCCTCCAAACCAGAGCTTCCTCCTACCCCCACATCCCAATCCAGGACATTGCAACCACAAATGTCTTGAGATATTGGCTGGATCATTCCTGTTCTAAAGCTGTCCATCTGGCTTTGAGAATGACTGTGATCTGAAGACACAAGTTGACTTACTGGCTGAGCTTGCTGCCAGCTTAGATGCACTTTGTAGGTGGAAAATTGTTGGTCTTTGTCCCTTCCAGCTTGCAAGTAAAATGAAGCTGCCAAGAGATAAACACATTCTAAGTTTATCATGCTATTCTTGGCCTCAAACTACAAGCCATAAGGCAACTATTGCTCAAGGTACCGTGTTTACAAGTGTTCAGTCCTCCGCTCTTTCAGAGACCCAACAAGATGGGATTTCTTCCTGTCAGCCTGTATTTTCATTCTCCAGAGCTTTCAAATTCCTCAAATGCTTTTTAAATAACGGTGGAGAAGGATCATCTCTGAAAGTATCTTGAACTTTGAAGTATCATTAAAATTTTTATTGTATTTTGAGGTTTCTCCCAAAGGCACAATAAACTGTCTGTTAGTCCACATACATCCTTCCATCAGTATCACTATTATATATTATTATTTGACTTCAGAGTGGGCAAAGATGTATAGTAATGTGCCTTTATGTAGGTCTTTTAAAGTATTTTCTGCTTCATTTGTCACAGCTTACTCCTCCTTGTTTACAGTGTTTCATTTAGTACATTCATTATTATAAAACTCTGATATCTATTTTAATTGATGAGATTCTGCCCGTTAGGTGTATATATTAACAGTAACATAATCAGAATTTAGGAATATTCTCAATACCAAGGAAAACAGTTAACTTAGAGAGGGAGTACTGTGCTAACTTTCTTCACAAATATCTTCCTGGCTGCCTTGGGTAACAGGATGTATTGAGTTCATACATCTTAAATATAAAAGAGGAGTACAGCTATAGCACATCCTACATTGGCACAGTGCATTGACATGTATTATGTATGATGTTACACTGTTTAAATTATTAGAAATCACATTAAAAGAAATTATAATAAGATAGGGCTTTTTACCAAATCTAGGATATTTGGCAAAGATATAATAATCAAATTCAACTCTTGATTTACAAATAAGACTTTGAGTTCTCAGAGTTTCATAACTATATTCTATATCATGATTTCTTTGCATTTCATTAAAAGTAACAATCTCTTTAGAGTATAGTACATATAAAAATTACTTATAAATTCGAGGTTTTATTGTTTCCTTGGACATAAGAAGTTAACTCATTCTAGGTAATTTCAAACCTCTCTTTGTAATATACTTTTTCATTGATTTAATGCTGCTGCAAAGCAAATTTACTGACTACATGGCAAATAAAGAGAATATATTAAAATATCCTTGTTCTAGTTTTAGCTCTAAATGTAGAGAAATAATTGTTTAAAACTAATTCTTTTAGAAGAATAATCACTTAAATAACTCAAAAATAAGTGCCATATTTCCCTACTCAATGAGCCAAGATAGCCTTGTGAACTGTCATTCCTAATGATTACAATGGACACAGTACCCTATGATGTACAAATGAGACAATGAAGGAGAATAGATGAGCATAAAGTTTGAATCCTATGTATCTGTGATTATTAGGATTTATTATCAGTATTCTTTTAGTCTATTAATTCTTTTTAAAATGTGTGTCTTAAAAATTATTGAAATTTGTTCCTGTGGATATTGAAAATCTAAGATCAAAGTACCAAGAAAATCAGTTTCTGATGAATCTCCACCTTCTTGCTGTATCTTAACTTGCTGAAGGGATTAACAAATGTCTATGTCCGCTTTGACAAGGTAACTATCTCATTCATGAGATCCTTTCTTTTTGATCTAGTCATATCCTTAAACCATATCATCTACAATCATCATTTTGGCATCAAGCCTCGGTGTATAGATTCTGAGGAATGTAAGTGTTAAGTCCTTTGAACCTCAGTAGCAAAGAGAGACATCACATCCACATACAGGCATGTAGCATATTTTACTTGTCCTTTACATGAATCAAAGGGGATAGTTTAATTCTTAAATATTCAGAAGATGATGTAATCAGAAGAATTTATTATTTTCACCATAAATCTCCTACTCTTAATATACTATTTTAATCTTTAATTTTATGTTTAAGGATTCCAATCTAACCTGAGTGACTATTTTTCTTGCAAAATAGGCTGCCGTGTTTGAAACCTGCATTTAATTGTTAAAATATGCAACATCACTAGCTTCAGAGTCTAAAGAATGACTTAGAATCTTAAGGAATAAGGATGTGGCAGGCTAGGGTCTGCAACACTGACATACAACTTTCTTTGGTTAGCTGAATATGGACTCTCACATATTGTATAATAGTCCTCCAGGGTATCATTATGCTGGCAATATACAACAAAGTAGAACAGTACATGAGAATTTAACTTGCTAATAATCAAAGTGGAGAAATCCCTGAATGGTACTTTATAATCTTTCTGTTTGTTTACACATTTATTGAATTACTAATTTGTCTTAAAGTCTGATTCCTGATTCAAATTAAATTTAATAATATCTAAGTGTCAGAGTCAGGAAGTATTCCAATATTCACTATTTAAAAACTTAAATGTCTAAGAAAGAAACAGAAGCTCATAAATAATGAAGTAAGAGGAAGAAAAACACAGCCTATTTTTGAAAATTTAAGAATAACATTTAGGGGTTGGGGAGACAGCTCAGTGGTTAAGAACACTTGTAGTCTAAGCATCAGAACTAAGTTCAGATCTCTAGTACCTACGTAAAAATCACAACCAAAAAGGAAGGCTTGGCCATCAATTCTTGTAACCCCAGTAGTAGGCATTGGCAATAGGCAGATGCCTAGGTAGCCAGTCTACACCCAAAGTGGAAGCTTCCTGTCAGTGCCAGAGATCTTATCTCAAGGAAATTAGGTGAAGAGAGATAGAGCAGGACACAATATGTCCTTTCTAGCCTCATAAGTGTGAGCTTGTGCTTATGCACTGCACTTACACAGACACATACTACATCACACATGGGGTAGAGAGGAAGAGAAGGGGAGGGAGAGAGATACAAATGATAGACAGATAGGTAGAGTTTAATATGCATTTCAGATTTACTGGGGATATTGTTTACCATAACATACTGGCATATCGTTTAATCTCAACACACATTTTTTGTGATCAAAACACTGAAATTCCACAGTAACCAAGAGTTTTGCCTAGGGGAAGCATTCATCAATTCCTTTCATACTTATTTAGTTTAAAGAAAGGCATATAATATCACCAAACTCAATGCATATTGAAGAAATAAACTGCTATACCCTGTGTCATGAGGAAGAATTTGAAAATTCCTGGATTAACCGCTTGATTCAACCAATATGAAATATAATGTTAATAGCTATTGAGAATAGTCACTTTTCAAATAAATCCACCCCAAATGGAAGACATATAATACAGTTTTATTTTCTTCCCCAACAATATCATAGTATTTGAGTACCATTCAGGAACCTGAATACCAGTCTGCCTTACTTTCACTTAAGGCTTATTTTATTCTCAGTATCACAATTATGAACTCATAATTGCCCTGGGAGGATAGTATAGTGTTTTTCTTTCTGGATCAGAATGTTAACAGGAGAGAATTTGTTTCTGTCTATAGATTCTAATAAAGAAACTTGAACAGAATAAGCTGGCTGGACCACAATGTTTACTTGTGCAAAAGGACAATTTCAAAGGATAAAGTATCTAGAAACTAAGAATAGTGTTCTTTCTTAAATTCCAAGAGATAAAACATTCAGTCTTGGTAAGAAGTATACAATTTTAGTATTTTAAAATGAACTTAACAAAAAAAAAACATGTCCATGTATTTGTAATATACACTATACCAGAAATTTATGTTCTATAATAAAAAATCATTATGCTAGATGAACCAAGTCTCACTAGTAATTTCATTTTCAAGAATCAATATATTTTATACATAAACTACAGAGGACCCCAGACTTATGGCTGAGAGACCAGCACGGGACTGATCCAGAATCCCTGAACATGGGCAATGAGGAGGCCTGGGCAGTTTTGGGGCCTCGGGTACTAGATCAGTATTTATCCCTGGCATCCAAATGGACTTTTAGAGCCCACATGGAGGGATGCTCTCTCAGCCTTGACACATGGTGGAGGGCCTAAACCCTGCCATGGATGATATGACAGACTGGAGATCCCCCATGCAGGGCCTCACCCTCCCTGGGGAGCAGAGGCAGGCTGGGGTGGGGGGTTAGGGGAGAGCTGAGAGAGAAAGAGGGGAGGGAGCTGGGATTGACATGTGAAGCAATCTTGTTTCTACTTTAAGTTGAAAATATAAAATAAAAACACTCCAAAAAAAACTTAATCAATTTTTTATAAGATTCCCCATTAAATAATTTAATGATTAACATTGAATACCACATGTTTCAGTGGAAATAGTAAAATGATGATTGTTTTGAACATGGCATTTCACTTTTCTTTTAAACATAATAGATAGATGATAGTCAAGAATTAACCTAAATAATCTCTTGTAGAGTAATGCATACTTATAGGAACAGTCATTTTTACATACTTTGGCATATATTCTCCTAATATGTTTTTTGCATGTTACTTTAGTGTAATGGTATGAGAGAAACATCAGAGACACTGTTCATAAGAGCTTGTGGAAATAAAATAAATAGCACAGTATCAGAGACACTGAGTAATAATAGAAGTTAGGAGAGTGGGAATGGAAGGGCATAAGAAGGTGGAAAGTGACAGTGGACAATTAGAGGCTCCTTGTTTTTTTTGTAATATTATTATTTAAATTAGAAACATGAATGCTTCAAATGTCAATCCCAGATCCTCTCTCACCCCTCCTCCCTTGTTCCTCCAACTGCCCCCCCAGCCCCCCACCCAATCCCCACATCATTCCCCAGGGAGGGTGAGGCCTTCCTTGGGGGGATCTTAAAGTCTGTCATTTCATCCAGGGCAGGACCTAGGCCCTTCCCCATGTGTCCAGGCTGAGAGAACATCCCTCTATTTGGAATGGGCTTCCAAAGGTCATTCATAAACCATGGTAAACTGATCTACTACCCAAGGCCCCAGTGATTTCTGTGGCCTCCTCACCGAGACTACATTCATGGAGTCTGGATCAGTGCCCTGTTGGCCTCTCGGGCATCAGTCTGGGATACAAGAGCTCCCCCTTATCCGGTCAGCTGTCTTTGTGGGTTTCAACATCATGGTCTTGACCCCTTTGCTCATCACTCCTCCATCTCTGTCACTAGGTTCCAGGAGTTCAGTTCAGTGTTTAGCTATGGGTATCTGTCTCTGCTACCATCAGTCACTGGATGAAGGTTCTAGGATGGCATATAAGGTAGTCATCGCCCTTACCATCAAGGAGGGGCATTTAATGTAGTCTCTCCACTATTGCTTAGTTTGCCAGTTGGTGTTACCCTTGTAGATCTCTGGAGATCTCACTAGTGTCAGCTATCTCTTTAAGCCTATAATGACTCAATCTATTATGGTATGTCTCATCATGTTCTCCTCTATTCTTACCTCGACTCAGCCTTCTGGTTCCATGGTTTTTATTGACTCTCATGTTTACGTCCTTTCTCTACGTTATCTGATGGGCAGTCCATTTAACTCACCAGAAAAAGACTTGTCTTCAGTAGTATGAGGCTAAAATCTTAAACAACAGAAGTTGTTATAAGAACACTATTTGAAGCACGATTTTTCTGGGCATGTTCAGTTCACGTTTATGAGGGTACAAAAGTTCTCTGTGCATGAGTTTCTGGCCAGTTATCTCTATCCTTACAGAACGTGACTTTTAAATTTTATCTAAAAGACTGTTGAGCTGTTTCAGAAACTATGTAGAATTTGTGTTTCTGGTTACTGAGAAAAGCATAGATGCTTAGTTATTACATTTATCATTTACCTTTGATGTGTTGGGAGGTTAGAAGATCCCAGAAAAGACCCTAAAATGAAAATCTTCATTTGGGCAGCGAAGTAATTTAAAGTATAAGCTTTCATATTATTGCCACAGGCTACCCTTTTAAAAAACAGTATATACTTTATGATATTTAGGGAGTCATATGGAGCATGTGTACCATTGTGTACCATTGTGAATAAGTAGAACCCTTCCAATAGCATGCAGTGTACACATGCAATTCATTGATTGTTTCTATGTGTAAGAACAAGTCAGCCCTTGCAATCCAAACATGAATCATATTGCTATTGTGTGCCTGTTTCCATTAATAACTACATAATTATCACCTGAAAAGATTATGTAGTTCTTTCTCTAATAAATTTGGAATATGTCATTTACTGGATATGCTCCTATGTCTCCAGTGCTTTGCCTGGATGTATGTCTACACCACATGTGTGCCAGTGCTAGTGGAAGCCAGTGGAAAGGCACACGAACTGGAGGTATACATAGCTGTGATCTGCAATGTGGTTACTGGGAATCAAGTCTGGGTCTTCAGAAAGAGCTGCCAGCCTTTTAAACATGGGTAACCTGAGAAGCTAAAATTGATGTATTATGTGGAAATAAGAACAAAGAATGGGTAATGGGAGGCAACTACCTTTGGAAACTGAATCAGATCGGACCAACAGTAGTTTAAGCAATTGAATTCTACTATGAAATTTTTCTTTCAGGAAGTTAGTTGACAAATGGTTCTATGATCTGCCTACATTTCAGAAACACTCTGTGGCCTACAATTTGACCCTGTTAAGCTTCAACTTCTGATTTAGTAGACCTGCATAAACACATACATTGCCATAAAAAATATAAGCAAGTGGGAAGAGCTCAAGATATGAGGTGAGTAAAGTATGAAACTCTTTTCTTTATGTTAGGCTGGTCTTTGCTGAGAGGATTTGTTGATACCATGTAGATTGTTATTCTATATTCAATGTGTAAGAGAAATCAAAATCTTGTCTTCTGACTAATGGGATTGTTGTGACATTTAAATCAAATAATATACATGAAAACATCATAAATTATACTGAGTAATTATAATTATCATGCTGAAGCATTGTATTTAAAGTTTCTAACTGAAAAATCTTTATTAAGAAACAGATTAAATAACTAATCTATGATCAGAATACATGACTGCTAATGAAGCCATTGCTTAGGATCATGAGACCAGGAAGTAGAGTAGCAATGTGATAGACGGATCTCAATGCCTGTTATTTTCCTATCAAAGTTAATAACTTCCTCCTTACATTCTTTCTCATAACACAAGTCAAATAAGAAAACACATGCAAAATTGTACCTTTAAAGACATTTATCTTTTAGTATACTTAAATATCTTATTAAAAGTAATAAAGATAGGTAGATGATAGAAGATAAAAGATAGTGATAGATATAATACATTGGCAGCTAGATCAATAGCTACCATGTTAGATAGCTATTTAGATAAATACATAGATAGAGATGGATAGAGAAGGATGATAGATAGATAGAGATGGATAGATACAGATGGTGATGGTGTTGTAGAATAAAATCCCTCCCTCTCGTTAAATAACAAAAGAAAGTGTACATATGTAAACCAGTGAGCATTAGAAAGCAGCCAGTACACAACAGCACTCTGAATGACAAAGGCAGAAAGTCTCTGGCAGTATGAGCAGCATTCTTTGGAACTTTGCATTTGAGTATGTGTAAATATGCATGAGAAATATGCTCAAGGCCAGAGAAAGAATCACAAGGTTGGGAGAGTGATCAAAAAGTGATAAGGAGGGTTTGCATTAACATAGTCTGGGGAAACCTTCCTTAGACATTATGCCATTCTGTGGTATTCTCAGAATGAATATTGCATAAGGACAAGGGCAAAATTACCCCCAGACTCAGTGTGCCTAGAACTGGCAAAATTTCATTGCAAACTTTAAAAGGACAAAATTATTACAGAGTAACTTGTGTCATAAGCCAAAGTTTAAGAGCGTGAAGAAAAGAGCCAAAAGAAAACAAAAATAGCTGTCTTCAAAAACATTATCCAGCTCACAAAGATTATATGTCATGATGGGAAAACAGATTAGTTCATAACTGTTAGGTTCCTTCAATATCCAAAACTGAAATATTAGTTCCACCTGATTTCAAAATCTTACATCAATCTCCAGGTCTGAAGAGAATGTAATCTGGCTAAAGAAATCATGAGATATGCATGCATTACATAAATAAATTTACATCAGTATAGTTGATTTAAAAATAAAACCAATATGTAACAATAGATGGTTAGAAGAATAGGATAGATATATTGTAAGGCAAAGAAAGTAATTAAGAATTCCTTCCTGTTTCATCACTTCCCCTTTAACCTTTATTCCATGGTGTTCTATCTTTTCTTCTTTGACATTCTTTTTCCTTTCTTATGACATTCTTTTTCCTGGTATGTGTAGGTCTTTCAAACCAAACACAAATATCTTTCAAACCAAACACAAATATCAAAACTAACATTCACCAGTGAGAAAATGCTTGATACTTAGCTTTCTGGATCCAGGTTACCTCACCGTATGGGTTGTTTACAACTTTATCCAACTATCTGTGAATTTCCTAGTTTAATTTTTCTTAATATATGAATACTACCCCATTGTGAAAATGTACCTGATTTTCATTGTCCATTCATCTGTTGGTAGACATCAAGGCTGTTCACTGTATTATGAATAGAGTATCAATGAAAATGGGTGAGCATATATATCTATAGTAAGATATATAGTATTTGCATACATATCCAAGAAGTGTATAGTTGGAAAAAAGCTCTACCATAAGTTTCAGCTATACTTATATTTGTGGTGGGAGTTCAAAGTAGGGCAGACATGCTGATTTTCATAATGGCTGCCCTAGTTTGCACTCCCACAAGCAATGAATACTTATTCCTCTTTCTTGAAGTTTATGATAACATTTGATATCACTTTTTAAAATCTTAGCCATTCTGACTGCAGGAAAATAAGATATTAAAATATTTTTAATTTGCATCTCTTTGACAGCTAGGGATGTTTAATATTTTTTACATTTTTCTTAGCTATTTATATTTCATCTTTTGAGAACTTTGTGGGAATAACAGCATGATTAAAGAGAGAATATTAGTTTAGCTAACTAATACAACATATAGTTTTTAAAAAGTCATATAGAAACCTATTACTCTAGTAGCTTCCTAAAATATATAGATGATATATATAAGAAGAATTTAAGTTGAATTACTCTATGTTGAAGAATTAATGCCATACTACATATCATAGTGTAGCACGTTAAAAGTCCTGTGTCAAGAATGGGTTATATCTCTTGGAACTGATATGAAATCCCATAGGTACCTAAACATTACAGAATGTTTTCAAGTGCTTAGTTATCATCAAGAACTTTAGGGTCAGGTCCTGTTGCTGAGGATACCATATACCTGAGTTATAAACAAATGGAGAAATCAAGATGGAACTTACTTGGAAGCTTCATCCTTTGTTGATAGCTTTCATGGTACTAGAAGCTGGTATGTACCCTAATAGAGTAGAACAATAATTATCATTCTTACATAGCTGGAAACCCTGCAATCTATAAGAACCAGCCTAGAAAACAGTGGCACAAATGTTATAAAAGCAAAAGTTGAGAACTACTACTGCCTGACCTCTATGACTGTGACTAGCTTTCCATTCTGATCACTAGGCAATCTTTACTATATCTAAACAATAGATCACCACATTTTTCCCTTTTCGTCTAATACAAAAAAACGAAGGCTATAATTAATATAAGAAAAACCATGTACAATAATTACAATAACTATATATAATCTATACAGGTAACAAGTACATCAACAATGTCAGGTCCATTTGCATTTGACAAATCCCAAGAAAATACTTCGTAATCTGTCTCATCCTTGTGAGTCCAAAAAGTTGTACTTAATTCACTTTCTATTCTAATTTGAATTATCAAGTTATTTTTAATGTCTCTCAAACTTTTACACTTCATACCTCCTTAATTAATTTCTTTTCTGTGTCTGGTAAATAAGAACAACTGTAACTATCTAGTCTTCAATTCCCCAAGAGATCCAAGAAGGAAATAATATTAGCTGACTAAGCAGGAAGTGCAAGCATGTGACTTCCCAAAAAATGTGAAAAATGATGTAAACAACTGGACACCCATACAGTCACCCAAGGTTCTTCTGAAACAGTAGGGCACCCATCTTTGGCCTATAGGTCTGGCATATCTGACAAACATTTCTGTGAAGCAGAAGTTTTGAAGGACTGTCCCACCTTGTCTTGGCAAGGTCTTACAGTCACTCTGTTTTGTGTCCTGTTTGTCCAATTTGGGCAGCATACTGTCAGCTGTCAAGGCAAGCAAACTTTCTTGCCTAGTGGCTTACTTTTCTACACAGAAGGTAAATTCCATGTGGAGTTTATTCAATGTCCATCATATTCTCTGAAGTAGGTTGGTGCTGCCAGGAGCAGACACATCTCAGTGTCATAAAAAGGAACCTATGTTATTAAGAACTCTTAAAGGGCATATTATATAGATATGTCTTCCTAAAATACATCTCTTTTTGACCTTGAAAACATACCTAATATGAATTTAAATTCAATTGTAAAAAGTAAGAATTGCTAACTTACATTTCTTTATTATCTTATATAGTTGGTAATAATAACTTTTCAGGACTAGAAATTTACATTTTATTGTCAAATGAGTTACATAGGTATGAAACCTTAAAAAAAGATAAACAAATATAAAGTATGTTCAAACAAGATTCCTAAAATTTGCATCAATGTACAAAATTTGTATACAATATACAAAAATCCAATCCAATGCAAAATATTGAAAACTAGTACTTGTTTTTAAAAGTAGGATCAATAATGTACCATTTTATGTTATCAATCTATATCTTCCATTTTTTCTTTTTTGTCCTTTTGTGTATATGTTTCCCTTATTGGTTGATGAATAAAACACTGTGTGGCTAGTGGCCTGTCAGGAAGGATATATGGGGCTAGCAGAAGAGGAGAATTCTGGGGAATGTAGGCATAGAGGAGATGCAATGTAAGACCCAGAAGAGAGGAGGCATTAGGTGTTCTCGGGGAAGACAAGATCATATGGAAATATATAGACAATATAAATGGGTTAATGATTAAGACAGAAATAGCCAATAGGTCAACAGTATAACTAATATACTGTCCATGTGTTTATTTGGGGCTGAGCAGGGCTGCTAGCAGACCAGTCTCCCGGGAAAGAAGCTCTGCAACATTACCCTTCTTTCTAATCATACCTATGCCTCCTTTTTACCTTTCAAAATAATAATTTTGAACCTAATTGCCTTTATTCAACTTTTTACTGGAGCTCAAACAATAACAATTTGTAACCAAAATTTCCTAAACAATAACATGTCTCTATAATCCAATGAAAGACCAAAAACTACCCACTTTTTAATTGCTCTGGGAAGGAGTTTCTTCCATGATGGCAGGAAATGAATAAACTAGATTTGATGTTTGGGTCTGTGAGAGACCTCTACAGGAATTTTCTGATGACAAAATGTTATCTTGAATACCTCCTGTTTACTTGTACCTTTGGCCAATAAATAAAATAGATCTAATGCATTGCTGGCCCTATACATTTCACTTGGTAATGAAAATGCCTAATTGGGCATCATATGTGCTGAGTTTTTGGTGACTCCATTTAGATTTATTTCATGGGTGCATATAATTTAAGAATATTGTATTATAATGGAATAGTTTTCCAAATGATCCAATAAATACATTCCTGTCAGTATCCCTGTCTTTATTCCCTCTTTCCATTATTTTCATTAATCTTCTTGTCCCAGTCTCTCCCCAACTATATATTTCCACTTTGATGGG